AACTGATACATCATATAGCATCATAAATCAATATGGTCAATAAGAATTAATATAGGTGTGTATTAAATATATAAATATAAATTGGATTATGATATGAAAGAATAATAATCTGAGCCTACTTGTGTAACATTCAAAGAGAAAGAAATGCAATCTGTTACATAATTGAAACAGTGGTTACTTTTTTAAAAGTACCAGCATCAGAATGAGAAAAATTCCTGTTATATTGACAATATTCTACACATAACTCTGTGAAGCCATCACAGAGATGTAGCTCTTCTTAAAAATATCTTAGTTCTATATACACTTAATACTTATATCGTTTATGAGAGGTATGATACCCCCTTAGGTAAAAGTTTATTTAGCACTCAGTTACACAATATTATAGAACAATATTTAAGTTGACAGTAATGATGTTCAGCAGGGGAGTTTTGACCTGCTCTGTTTCTGACCTGGGCCGGTTCACCCCTCCTTAGGCAACCTGGTGGTCCTCCGCGCCCAGAGGGTCACCATATTGATGCCGAACTTAGTGCGGACACCCGATGGGCATAGCGCACTACAGCCCAGAACTCCTGGACTCAAGCAATCCTCCAGCCTCAGTCTCCGGAGTAGCTGGGACTACAGGTGCGGGGGCTAGAGCGATAGCACAGTGGTAGGGCGGTTTGCCTTGCACGCAGCCAACATGGTTGAGTTGGATTCCTCCGCCCCTCTCGAAGAGCCCGTCAAGCTACCGAGAGTATCTCGCCCTGCACGGAAGAGTCTGGCAAGCTACCTGTAATGTATTCGATACGCCAAACACAGTAACAACAAAGTCTCCAATGGAGACATTACTGGGGGCCCGCTTGAGCAAATCAATGAACAACGGGAAGACAGTGACAGTGACAGTAATGATGTTGTGGAAGATATTTTTTTTGTAATTACATGGAAATAAAATGGTGAGAAGCTAGCAAGTACACACAGAGAAAGATCTTTGTGGTAAGAGTTGGACCAAGTATCAAGGATCTGAAACAGGCAGCAGCTGAGAAAGGAGTATGCTATCCAGATGAAAGGTTAAGAGGCAGATTCTGTAGAATCTGTGCAGAGATTAAGAGTTTGCATTTAGTTTCTAACTCCTGTGTCTGCATATGTAAAATATAAAAATAAAATTAAAAATTAAAAAAAATTCAGGTAAGGAGAACAGTTGTGGCTGTTAGAGTTGTTGAAAGAGGCGAAGAGGAAATGATCAACTGTTAATATGCTGTGTGTTTTAGATGCTGTGGGAGATACAAGTAGATATGGTTATTACTGGAATTCCTTTTGAGTAGACAGGGAGCTTTGTTTGGGTCTTATCCTGGGTTTAAAGGAATTCATAAGGACTGGGTTTCAAAAGTGCCCCTTATCAAAGTCATGGTGTAAGACACTTTAAGGAGCGCTTAGTCTTTCTGAACTATGAATCAAAGAAAAGAGAGGTCAGGAATGAACAAAAGGAAGGAATTCATGATGGTCTGTCATCTTATCCCATCTGTCAGGGCTCTGGCACCACAGAGTGGGGGGTGCAGGGGGAAGCAGTGGTATCATATCTCAAGCCTGATTTGCTTTTGCTAGCCTCAACTTCTGTTATTTGCCATATTCTAGGGAAGCCTTGTTTCACTCTTTATTTTTTTAACAATATATTTAATGAGTTTCCATATTCAATAATTCCTTCATAGCTGAAGTTGCTAATGGCTAGTCTTATGCTTATTACTATTTTGTAGATATATTCTATACACAAATTCCTGAACTTTTCCCCCTTCTCAAATTTAAAGATAACTCTAAAACAAGAGTTTAAAATTTTTATCAAAAAAATTCTAAAATGCAGCTATTGCTTAATAATCCCTTGCAAAAACTGAACATTAAAAGATGATATAACCATTTTAAAGGTATATATAAAACTGTGTATATATATGTGTGTGTGTGTTATTAAAGCCAGATAGGCTTACTACAAATACACAGGACCTATCTATGAGAAATTGAAGCCATGTTTATTGACTTTTTTCTTATGATAAAGAAATGTAGGTTGACTTTTACTTTGATAAAAATAACTACAATTAATATAACTTTAGATGCAGTAATATATACATAAGCCTGTGAAATTCAAATTCTCCTTTCTTTTGTGAGAAGTAATGCCTTAAATCATAGTGTACAGCAGAAATGTGCGCAAGACTGTTATCCATAAGCAGTTTAATAGCTATTCTCTGACTAGGTAGCCAACCAGTATTTTCAGTCACTGGTACATGGATCAGTTGCTGGTCCAAAGTGTAGAAAGACTGAGAATCACTGCTCTACTATAATGGTAATCACGTACCACTATGCAGGACAGTATGCCGAAGTAAAAAGGGTGAAGTGAAATGAGTCAGAAAGAGAGGGATAGACATAGAAAGATTGCATTCATCTGGGGAACATAAAGTAACAAAATAGGAGACTAACACCAAGAGTGGCGGAGATTAGTACCAGCAGTTTTGCTCCATGACTTGGAGGCCAGCCACACATTCTAGGGGAAAAGGGAGCTCAGGTAGAGAAGGGAGAACCAAATAAAGGGTGTTGGGAGGATCCTCCCAGGATGGGAGAAGCATGCTGAAAGTAGACTATAGACAAACATGATTGCCACTCAAAGTTTCTTTTGCAAACCACAACACCCAAAAGGAGAGAGAGAACAAAAGGGAATGCCCTGCCACAGAGGCAGGGTGGGGTAGGGGGTTGGGGGGTGGGAGGGATATTGGGACCCGTGGTGGTGGAAAATGGGCACTGGTGGAGGGATGGGTACTTGATCATTGTATAACTGAAACCCAAGCACAAAATTTTGTAAGTCTACAACTGTATCTCATGGTGTTTCACTAATAAAATTTTTTTTTAAAAAAAGGGTGAAGAATTCAGCAGTGCAATGCCTGGTAGCATCCATACTGTAATTTTGGTTGTATTTACAAAATTTAGCATGAGTCTGTCAAGGGACAGATTTGTGGACATACAGTCAAAAGTAATAGAACTCTCTAGTTTCTTCCCTCATTTCCTAACTCATTTGCATTTTTATTCTTTCATATAAGAAAAATCATTTACAAAAACAGGTGCCCACATTTATTCAAAAGTAATCTATTCTTTAGCTCAATGATAACCACATGGTTCCTTAAGCACTGCTAGAGCTATCCACATTACTGAGCACAAAAAAAGCACCCACCGACACACACACACACACACACACACACACACACATACACACACACACTCCTAGTACTTCAGGATATGTTCCCAAGACAAATCAAACCAAAGTAATCCATTCCTGACACTGTCAATAGTGGAAATCCAGTTGCATGTTTTTAAATAAGAGAACTAATCATAGATTTCTACTTTGCTGAACCAAGCATTTTCTAGTTTTTCAAAAGAATTATGCTGTTGTAATTAATGAAGCTTTCATACCCAGTAATTTTTTATAAATTATCTCTATGCATGGAAAATTCTTACTGGTGGTAAATACATAGACTGGTCAAACTTTTGCCTTGTGCAATTTACATCTCCCAGTAGACATTATCATTTTTTACTTTTCTTCTGCAGAAATGAAGATCAATTGGGTTCCTTTATTTGTTTCACATTTTGCTCCATATTTTAGAATATACTTTTACTTAAAATCTTGGAGAAAAAAAGGTACAATTGCACAAAGGTACAAGAACAGCACAAACTAAGATTTAATGCTATTAGAAAGTAGATGACTAATGGAATGAGGACATCATGGGAGTATGAAAAACGACAGGGAGAAGTAAAACAGGTCTTTAGTGTTTAAACCAAACATCTTGCAGAATAGCACCAAGGTCATATTTACAGTGAGATGAAAATTCCACCCAGTTATATGTCCCCCTGCAAGGTATTTCCCATTGTTACAATCAGGGGGAACAAGTGAAGGTCAGGTCACACAACCACTGGGTGAACTTTTGCTCATTATATGATCAGTTAAAATACTTGAAAATGTCAAAAAGTACCATCACGGTTTATAATTACCATGACAACTCCGAAATATGGCTAAATATGGTCATAACCTCAAGCATGATATTCCCATTCATTTTAAGTGGAGAATGGGGGGGAACAATCTGAAACCATAGAGAAGAAACAGTGGTGGTGTTTCCTCTTTAAGCCCCACTCCCTCTTCCAAGTGTCCTTTCTATTCTCTTTTCCTTAAATGAACACTTAAACCCCAACAGAATGCATGCTAAATACATACTTGCTTTATATATTTTGTATTCTTTATAACATCCTTGGTGAGCACAAAATTCACGCATGGGGGCCTCTGCATGCCTGTTCCTCAATGCCCTTCACTTTCATCGATGTTGTCAGGTTTAACACACTCACTGATTAACATCTTATTTCTCGTGGGGAACATTTTCACTGACTCATACGTGCCAATTTCTTTGAGAGGCTTACAGTGTGATAAGAAATTTAGTAAGAACATTGTGGAAATGAGAGTTCAGTTAATGACAATGTAGCAAAATGAAAAACTTTATTTCATAATTATCCCCAGTCTTCATGAGATTGTAAGGCAAATTACAAATTGGCCACAGCATGATGTTTTGCAAAAATTATTTTAAAAATTATCTTAAACATTAAGTCAATGTTGTATGGGCTCCTACATCTGACCATACTATTTTAAAACTTTGAAGAATTTTTTAAACGAGGAATTCCCTAAATTAGATAGAAAAGAGTAAAACAATTCCAATGTTTGTTCTAATGAGAAGTGGCTTTTATTCTTTAACCTTTGAAGTGTTCAGAGGAAGAAAACATCTTCTTTCTAATTATCCTTTAATCACCAGTATGCAACAACACTATTAAAAAATCCCAGTAGTGTTGATTATTTTTTTTCATTTGAGCTTTAATAGGACTTTTAAAGGAGAAATAAGAGGTGTACTTAGTGACATGCGATTATAAAGAAACTATTTAAGTGCAATTAAAGGTATCTTAACTGAAAAGCCAGTGGTAGAGTAGCATATCAGCCTTGGCCTTACCCTTTAATTTTAAGGCTTCTAATACCTTTGAATCAGCCGTTACATCACTCACTAGCTTGATTTCAATGTTTTGTGAAGTCAGTTGAAGCAACTTTTCAAAAAGACGCTGACCCTAGGAAAAAATATGCAGATAAAGCAAGTCAGAAAATTAAAAGCTAACTCCTTAAACACTTGTAAATTCTTATATTAAAACGTAGAATCATTTTGTAACCACAAAGTTACTGATTCTACTGCCACCAGAGATTACTCAATGGAGAAATACAGTAGCAAGTTGAAATAAAGCTTTACTGGCACTGGCAGGTTGGAAAATGGTGGGTTCATGGTCTCAAAGCAACTATCTTATCTTCAAGATCTCAAGTGTTTGTTTTTGTTTTTTTTTACAGGAATTTTTAGGAAGTGTACACTCCAGACAGTGAACTCTAGAATGAACAATAAAATTATCTTTCTTTAAAAAACTGAATCACTGGGAGATACAAAGTTACAAAGCTGTTCATGGTCAGATTTCAGTCATACAATGTTCCAACACCTATCTCTCCACCAGTATACATTTCCTACCACCAATGTCCCCAGTTCCCCGCCCCCCTCCCCCATCTGTCTCTATGGAACTCTCTCTCTCTCTCTCTTTTTGGCATGGTTTGCTATCAGCTAGGTTATCATGTTTGTTCTTTTACCTATTTTCAGCACACAGTTGTTATCCAGACTGATTATTTCTCACTATCTTTGTCATAGTAGTCCCTCCTCTGTCCTAACTGCTTTCTCCTCCTGGCACTTGAGTACTTGAGGCAGGCTTCCAGCCATGAACCAATCCTCCTGACTCTTGTTTCTACTGTGCTTGGGTATTAATCTCATATTATGAAATTTGCCTATAAATGGATGGACATGGAGAGTATCCTGCCATGTGAAATGAGTCAGAAAGAGAGGGATAGACATAGAATAATCAGGTTACTTTGTGGGATATAAAACAAAATTTTCTTAAGGGCTGTCTTATCTGAAAACATATACAAAAGAAAGGTTTTGAGGTAAACAGTAAATTTAGAACAAACTGTCCTTATTTTTAGGCTTTGGGACAAGGATAGTTGCCTTCGGGATAAGAGAAGTTACCTTATCTCAGTGCAAAATTGCTGCAAATGTTTTAATAATACCAGCAAATTTTTTGACACTTTTTTTGAAAATTATTTTGACAGTAAAAATGTGGCAATAGCTATTTTTGTAAGCATTTCAATTCTAATTTAAAAAGGTAATCACATCAATAACTCATTCATGGAAGATTTTTTTAAAAAAATATATAAATAGGGTAATAACAAAAACAAAGGTTACTATGGCTTCTTTAATATTGTGAAATTCAACAATTATTGCAATAATATTCTCAAAGTAGAATTTTTACTTTTTCAAAAAGCATGAAGTGTGAAGAGGTAGCAGCATATTGAGCAGGTGTTTTAGTCTGAAGAGGATTCCAGCTGCTTTTCCATTTTACAATTGTGATTGCTTTTGTTTTTGTATTTGGGCCACACCTGGCAATGCTCAGGAGTTATTCCTGGATCTGCACTGAGGAATTACTCCTTGCAGTGCTTGTGTGGATCATAGGGGATGCCAGGAATCAAACCTGGGCCAGGCTCCTGAAAGGCAAATGCCCTACCACCTATACTATCTCTCCAACTCTAATAGCTTATGATTTTTAATCTCATTAATGTCCACTTTCATCCTCATTAAATGATATAATAAAATGTTTTTGTGAGAATTAAGTAATAAAAATAAAAAGAATTTTAAAAATAAGTTATTAATAAGTAAACTTAAGTATTATCTTTTATGGAAGGAATCAACTACGTATTATTGATTATCCTGAATAATCCTCTTGTCTTAAGCTTGAATTCATCCCAGAGATTTATATAATCACTGCTTCAAAATAACTAAAATAAAAATATTAAATGGTAATTTTCATAAATATATACTTTTATATCAAATTTTAATCTCAGGAAGACCCTAAATATTACCAATAATTATTATATTATCTCAAACATATGTAATACATATGTTTATTTTATTTTATTTATTTTAACTTGTGAGTTTTCCTGGTCTCCCCTCCTTATCATAAGAAGGAACTGCTCTTCTGTTATTGATTTTTAAAATATTTTTGATCTTTTTGTTTTCCAACTGAGATGCTTTCAGGGCCAAACAAGCAATAAAACCTTGGTTTCATCACCTTTAAGCAGCAGTCCTATCTTATGTTAAGAATAGATTATTGATAATGATGACAGAAAAAAAGATTTATGAGGGGAAGACAAAGGGTAGGTAGGTAGCACTGATTGCTACAGTTCAGCGTTAGGAAAGAAGTCATCTCAAGGAAAGATGGAGAGGGATAGGTAAATCATGATAAAGGAGATAACTATTTGGTGAAAAATAGGACTTTTAATGATTAACTTAATGTACTAGATATGTTAAATTTTAACAATACCTAAAACATATAACAAATTTTAACAATACCTGAAACATATAATATAATAATTATTTCAAAAGAAAAGGATCTTTGATCTTTAAATAGATCCACCAGGAATGCCGACTGGTTCAGCCCTTTTGGAAAACAGTATGGATGATTCTCAAAAAATTAGAAATTGAGCTCCCATTTGATCCAGCAATACCACTCCTGGCAATATATCCCAGAGAGGCAAAAAAGTATAGTTGAAGTGACATCTGCAATTGCCTGTTTATTGCAGCACTCTTTACAATAGCCAGAATCTGGAAAAAACCTGAGTGCCCGAGAACAGATGACTGGTTAAAGAAACTTTGGTACATTTACACAATGGAGTACTATGTAGCTGTTAGAAAAGATGAAGTCACGAAATTTACATACAAGTGGTACTACATGGAAAGTATCATTTTAAGCGAAATGACTCAGAAAGAAAGGGATAGACATAGAAAGATTGCATTCATCTGGGGAACATAAAGTAACAAAATAGGAAACTAACACCCAAGAATAGCCGAGATTAGTACCAGGAATTCTACTCCATGACTTGGAGGCCAACCACACATACTAGGGAAAAAGGAGCTCAGATAAAGAGGGGAATACCAAATAAAGGTGTTGGGAGGACCCTCCCAGAATGGGAGAAGCATGCTGAAAGTAGACTATAGACCAAACATGATTGCCACTCAATGTGTTTTTTGCAAACCACAACACCCAAAAGGAGAGAGAGAACAGAGGGGAATGCCCTGCCACAGAGCCAGGGAGTGTTGGGGGGGATGGGGGGTGGGAGGGACACTGGGATGCATGGTGGTGGGAAGTGGGCACTGGTGGAGGGATGGTATTTGATCATTATATAATTGAAACCCAAGCACAAAAAATGTGTAAGTCTGCAACTGTACATCATGATGTCTCACTATTAAAATTTTTTTTTAATAAAGGTAAAGGTAAAGGTAAAGGCCCTCCCGTTGATCATCGATTTGCTCGAACGGGCCCAGTAACGTCTCCATTGGAGACTTTGTTGTTACTGTGTCTGGCATATCGAATACTCTCGGTAGCTTGCCAGGCTCTCCGAGAGGGGTGGAGGAATCGAACTCGGGTCGGCCATGTTGGCTGCGTGCAAGGCAAACGCCCTACCCGCTGTGCTATCGCTCCAAATAAATCGATCCACCAATTTTGAGCAATAAGAAAAAAGTACCTTGGGCCTGACTCCCAAACCTAAGTCATATGCCCAGGCATAATCCATATAGGCAGCCTTCAGTGGTTGGGGAGTGGTAATAAATTGGGACAAAGGACAACTCTGGGTCTTTTACTCTGTAAAATAGGACCAATTACCCCTTCTTTGAAAATGCCCTATTTCCCTAAAATAATCTTTCATTTTGTGTCAGTGAATTCTTTTACAAATCCAAGTATTTGCTTGCCACCCAAACTGAGGTAGGCTTGAATAATGACCAGGGGTGTGCAATCACAACTGCACATTGGTAGGTGCATGCTAAGTTCAAAGAGACCTGTTGGGCTACTTTGCTCTAAAATGCAAGGGGTTGGGCAGAAGTCACAACTATGTTAATAGCAATGTTATTTGCATTCTTTAAAACTCAGTGATGCCTGCATGATCTAGATTTCTAAAGTTCAGACTTATGGTCATCACATATTCACACAAGATGTTTGTTGTTGGGTTTTTTTTGTAATCATCACTTTCATATATCAAAAGTTATTGCAGACCTTGGGCTGGAGCGATAGCACAGCGGGTAGGGTGTTCGCCTTACACGCGGCCAACATGACCGACCCGAGTTCGATTCCTCCGCCCCTCTCGGAGAGCCTGGCAAGCTACCGAGAGTATTCGATATGCCAGACACAGTAACAACAAAGTCTCCAATGGAGACGTTACTGGGCCCGCTCGAGCTCGAGCAAATTGCAGACCTTGTGTATTTTGTGAGAACTCATGGTCAGCGGGCTGGAGTGATAGCACAGCAGGTAGGGCATTCGCCTTGCATGCAACCAATATGGCCGACCCGAGTTCGATTCCTCTGCCCCTCTGGCATCACGGGTAGCTTGCCAGGCTTTGCTGTGCAGGCGAGAGCCCGGCAAGCTCACCCGCACAGCAAACCCTGGCAAGCTACCGTAATGTATTCGATTTGCCAATCACAGTAACAAGTCTCACAATGTTACTGGGCCTTCTCAAGCAAATCGATGAACAATGGGAGGACAGTGACAGTGACGTGATCAGCAATTTTAAAAGATGGATTTTTTTAGTCTTAGTTTATAGAATTTGTTTAGCACAAATGAAACTTAAGAGAACTTCTAAACTATCAATAATTCTACCTTGTGTCTTATTCCCTGTTATTTTTGTGAGATTTATAGGGATCATAACTCTCAAACATGAATGAAAATAAAAAAGTAAAATCTACAGATTTTTAAGTCATTAAACAGCTTTTAGTATGAATTTGTTATTTATGCATTTTCTTGTGTGTGCTTTGAGGTGGTTTTTCTCATATTTCCTTTTCAGGGCACTAATTTGGGTCACAACAGAGGTCATTGGTCAGGTGCTACTAGAGAGGATGTTCAGGGGACCATGTTATATGCCAGGAACCAAATTCAGGACTCCCATGCTCCAGCTCTTGGAGTTATCCTTTCACCCACATTTGAATGGCCTTGAA